TCCATAATCATGGAGTTTGGGGGCAATGTGACTCTACACCAAGTCATCTATGGTGCCACCCGCTCTCCAGGGCCTCTAAGCTGCAGCCGAGAACAACTGAGTTTGGGGAAGTGCCTTAAGTATTCCCTAGATATTGTTAATGGCCTGTTTTTCCTCCACTCACAAAGCATTTTGCACTTGGACCTGAAGCCAGCGAACATTTTGATCAATGAGCAGGACGTCTGTAAGATCAGTGATTTCGGCTGCTCCCATAGTCTGCAAGATCTGTGGTGCAGCCAGACGCCCCCTCACCACATAGGTGGCACCTACACGCACCAAGCTCCGGAGCTCCTGAAAGGAGAGACCGCCACGCGCAAAGCCGACATCTACTCTTTCGGCATCACCCTCTGGCAGATGACCACCAGGGAGGTGCCATACTCAGGCGAGCCTCAGCAGGTGCAGTACGCTGTGGTGGCCTACAATCTGCGACCGTCCCTGGCGGGGGCAGTGTTCACCTCCTCACCGACGGGGCGGAAGTTGCAGAGCATCCTCCGGAGCTGCTGGGAGGCCCGCGCCCTGCAGAGGCCGGGTGCAGAACTGCTCTTGAGGGACCTGAACGCTTTGCGAGCAGCATTGGGCTGACTCCATCCAGCCTGTGCTTTTTGTTTCTGATTATTTTTAAAGAAGTAAGGGTGGTGTGGAAGAAAACATACCCCTAGGACATAATTTTAGAAAATAAAGTTACTGAAAACTTCAATCTGAAGGGTTTTTTTTTTTTTTTTTTCCTGAGAATAAGGAGGCTACAGATTTCATGAGCATCACTGCTGGTAACAAACCTAACCCCCTTTATAGTTCTCTGTCCCCTTTCTGGGCTCCTGTCAGACTGTATCATCTCCACAATATTGCTGTTAGTTGGATTTGTTACTGAGTGGAAAACAGAAGAGAAAGGGAGGGGAGAGTAAGGAAAGGAGGGAGGGAGGGAGGGAGGAAGGGAGGAAAGAAAGAAGGAAAGAAGGAAAGAAGGAAATGACATGACTACTAATAGGTGTGGTGAAAGAGAAAGTTTATTGTAGATAAAAGGGAGACATAGTCAGAGGCAGGGACATCTGGAAAAGTCCATAGTGAATATGATCCTGAGCCATGGGGGGAGGGGGGAAGAGACGGGAACCAGGTGCAACAATCAGAAGACCCCCCAAAAGGAGAGATAATCAAAATGACTAGATTATATAGGGAGGAGCATCTAGGGGAAGGACAGCCCAGCCCCTGAGCTGGAGAATTTAAAGTAGGGATGGGGTGTACCAGCCAGGCACACCCTGGAACAGGTTGAGAGGGACTAAGGGATGGGGTAGGGGATGCAGGTGTGTCTGCTTTGATATGTTAAATAGGCACCTCAGCCTTTTGTCCTGGATTTGAAACCTAACAGTTACTGATAAAAAACAGTTTTCCAAAAAAAGAATGACACTCCTGACATGCCACATTTTTCTCTGCAAGTGTCACATCTCCCACACCTAAATTCAAGCTTGTTGGCCTGCAACAAAACAAGCACTTTCTAAAGGAATGGTTGTTATCTCTTCCAGTCCATAAGAAAATGAAGTTTGCTATCACTTTCACATACATTTTGCAGATTGAAGTTGATTATTTTTTCAAATAATGATATTCTAAATCATTGCTCACATTTGAACATTGCCATGAGCAGAAAAGTTACAAAAATACTCTGTGCTGGGTGTCTTTGCCTCAGATTTGAGCTCAAAATCAGACAGCAAAATAAAGTTGTGCTGTGGTTGCAGATAAGAACCCAGTGAAGAGTGAGTGCTGAGTTGATGGGAAAGAAAAGACCAGTGAGATTGCAATGTTTCATTTGGGGGGGGGGTACTAGAAGTCAAGATACTACTGGGTGTCATGTCTTGATGGGATTTAGAGAAGGAAGTGTTTGGCTCCTGGGGTGTATTGCAGAGAGAACGAGGAGCAGAATGATGGAGGAGGCAGAAGACAAGGATATGTGTAGTTGTTTGGTTTGGTTTTGGGATGAAGAGTTAAGTGTATTTGTGAATGAAAGCTGAGGAGACAAAGATAACTGGTAAAGTTAAAAAAGTCAAAAGATGACAGATAGGAGCTATGAAAAGATTGTAGTCTTGGAGAAAAAGGACATCTCTCCCAGGACTGGAGGCAAGAATGGGGTAGGGTTGCTAGTAAAGGTGAGTAGGGAAGAGGCTCTGTGGAAGCTCACAGCCCTGGGCTTCT